GCATATAATTAGAGCCACCCTATTCAAAAAATGTTCCCGTCGTTGCGTTGCGGACCCCATTCAAATACAGTTACTGTCTCGGGGATATCTAATACCTAATTGGTTTCTGTGTAGGTACATATAGGGAGAGACACACACCGGCAACTGTCAAAAGGCAATCGGTAGTCCGAGAGAAAGAGGACTTTGGCAAATAAACATTTTTGCGTAAGGAACATGAAGCTAATGGTAGATGGGGTTTAAATGAAAGAGTGATAAATAGGAGTCGTTCGATGGGATGGTGGTTGTAAAAGTTATTACACTTTTTGAAGATGGGGTTAACGGACCAAATGACACCTACCAGATGTTTTAGTGGGTGTAACTTTTTGAATTTTAAAAAATGGTAGAAATTAGGAGGATACTGTAGTTTAGGATTTTCGGTGTGAGCAAATAATGCTTGAACTATTTCATTCAGTGCGTGTCCTATCTAAAAACCTCCTGAACGAAGAGAAAAAAAATCAGGTGCCGTTATATTACAGGTTTTTTGACAGTTAGCTCTAATTAGAAGAGTTTGTGTGGAATCTTAATTTTGGGTTTAAATAATTCTAGTAGGGTTGAAAATGCAATTCAAAAAACATGAGATCCCATGGTATGACTAAAAAAGTTCAATCAGACTGAAATTCTGGCCAGGCTGAAAATTCTAGTTAAACTGAAATTCTAGTCAGAGTTAGACTAAAAAAAGTGACGCAAAAAATATCTAGAGCACCGTACAACTCTAACAGAGAGCCTTCATCAAGATAAAGGATCATCATCCATTTGAGTGACAGTTCGTAGACTGCTTTGACAGTTCAACTGACATGCCATTCTAATAGGGAATTCAAAGTTGGGTTTTTTTGTGTATGACTGAGATCTTCTAGATTTCGACTGAAACTTTGACAGTTTGCCACGAATGGAGGCCGATGGGATACTCAAAATCGGGTTCAGCTCAATGGCTAATTTGGATTTGCAGCTTTCCTTCAAAAAATAGATAAAAAATCTTCCCAGAAGGGGTAAGGACTCTCATTTAGGCAAAAAAAATTATAGACCGTACATTCCCGGTCGTATAGGGCAGTTGGTAGCGCATTCGATGACCTGCCAGACTGCTCCCGGGTTCAGAACCCTCCTGGGGTGCCTACTATTGAAATCTCAGAGAAAATGTTTTTTTGTGTTCCTCTGTGGTGGACTATGAAAAAAAAAGTTGCCTCAAATTTCCATGCTAGGCATCTCTGAAGAGATTGAAGAGCACTACTAACTACGCTACGCCACCGACGATCCTAAAAATTCCCTAGCTCAACATTCATCAACCCATCTAACCTCCAAAACCCAACCCTTGCTAATACACACTCTCCAAACCATTTATTCAAATCTCTACTGCCCCACTTTTTATCTACTGTGCGGATCAAACATACTTGACCAGCAAAAGGATCATAAACCTCTTAGCGAGTTAGTTTGTCTCTGATGCAACTAGAAACTGTCTTGCGTAATTCTGCATAAACTTTCGTTCCTAAACCACACCATGACATCTCAATCTTGTTCCTAAGGATAAGTGACCGTATGTTATTCTATTAATAATCCGTGAAAAAGGGTACTAAATCGCGCATTAGTCAACGTGTACAACTATTAGGATCTCATGGGATTACATTAATAAGTACTGTTGGATTGATGGGACGGGCATATGCCACGTTGCACTAGGTCTCATTGAAAAAAATCAATACTACAGTAATTCAAAATGATAGCATAGGAAAATTTTCTAGATGATTTCAACTCAAAAATAGTGATTTTAAACTAAGTGTGCTTCCATGCAAATTGTATGTGTAAGGTTAAAATCATGGATATTTCAGAATTCAGAACTCCTTCATCATTTCCAGATATATATCGTCCATCCTGCCATGCAACAGTCTGTCCGACACCTTCATGCTAGTCAAACTTACCTTCACCACAACTACCAACACCACCGTCAGAAAAAAAAATACAACAAGAACCTCCTTACGCAACCTCCCGGGCACCGGACAGACTGTTTGAATGACTGAGGTACGGGACCACCGACCCCAGGTGGTCCCTCGCTCCGCCCTCTTACATCATTCCTCGAGAGATTCCATCTCCCCCTCCCACTAGACCATATTTACTGTAATCTCTGTGGTTCGTCTCCCCTCTTGTAAAAGGTTTTTGTGCATGAGCCGACATAGAGTGGAGACACACGCTGCGCGGGAGAAGACAGTTGACGACGGCGGACAGGTGTTGCGTAAGAAACAAAAGAGAGATGTTCGCGCATGTGGCAGAATGGTCCGAACAATGTGGAAGAAGAATGTGAGAAGTGGAGCATATGTTTGACGGGTGATGGAAGATAAAGTATAAATCCGGTGGATGATGGTGGCTTATAGGATAGGGGAAGTTGGTTGCCATGGTTTCGCAGCTCCAAGAAACTTCGCAACGCAAGTACTGCACATAGCAAGTACTGCACAAGTTTGTCATGGTCTTGCTAGACCATGATAGGTTATAGGGTTTTGAAATTATGCCAGTTATTGAATACCTAGGAATTTTAGCCTCCAGAACTTTACAAACGCTTGGAATCCTTCAAGAAATTGACTTGTTTCCCAGATCACTATGCGCAGCCTGTGTCAAGCGGTGGCGTCTGAAGTTATCGATAGGCTGTTCTGAGCAAGCTTGGCTCAAGTTTGGAACGAGCTTGGCACCAGCTAGGCGCGAGTTTGCGGGAGTTTGACACGAGCCAGGCTCCGCACAGTTCAGCACAGGTTTCAGACAATCCTGCACAGGCTCTGAAAATTTTTAGCTAGCTAAATTCCTATCCTTCTGATAGCGCCAGATTGGATGTTCTGGGTGCCGCTCTATTAGAGGTCTAGACCACACAATCTCCCCTCTCTATCTCCTGTTTTACCTAACCTTCTGTACTTCACCCCCCACACCTGCCTACATTTGCCCTTTTTGCACCCCAGGAAGCCAGCCAGCAAGCCAAAAAACATCTCTCTTTACCGCGCAATCATGCCCCTCATCCACTCCATCTGTTGCTTACAGGTCACCTCAGAGATCACTGATCCTTGAAGAGACCCAGACAGAAATCTGTGTGTGCAGGCATGTGCAGATGTTGTCCTATAGGCTCTCTAATTATGCGCCGAATTGTCGAAGAAGGAGATATTTGAGATTATATAACGAAGAGGAAAATAATGATCGATAGGGGCAGATGGTTTGGAATTCGAAAGGAAAAATTGAGAAATTTGGGTCAGGAGAGCTTTAAAATTGGGTCATTTGAGCTTCGAAAAATCGAAATCAAAATTAGCATAATTAGACATGACAACACCTTTTCGAACACCTCAAAAATACCAGTTTTCCCCCCTCCCTTCCGGTCATAATGAAATGCAAATCGAAAAATGGAAAGTCAATGGAGTTGTTGGTTGGCTGGCCTTCAAAGCGAAATGAAGTGAAATCAAAGGCGTGTAGGGCGGTGAAAAGAAAGCGAACACCCGCCCCATCGTTTCATTTTTTGACCACCCCCACCGGCACCAGCACCCGGCGCGAAATTGGGGTCAGTGGTGCGAGTGGTGTGCGGTCCATTACTTTTTGATTAGTCTTTTCTTCGGAGTCTTTGTAGATTTAGTGGTGACAGGTTAGAGGAATTTAAAAGTTTAGGCCCCTTACAGGATCTTTATCTAGATTTACCACCCTACCCTAATTGTGTTGTATCAACAATCGTGATTACAAGGATAATAAGATTACAAGTACCACTACTTTGGAAAATCAGATCTGGAGGGTCATGGGACCCTCAATCATCATCCATCAGGCAGAGGATGGTTCACACCCTTTTCATAGTCCAGGAGAGGGTGAAAAAATGGATATGGTGAGAAGGTCTAATTTTGGGTTTTGGACGGTTCAGTTACTCAGGCAGCTATTGGAAAAAAGGCGAGGCTCAACAAAAAAAAAAAATAGGACCCTGGGGGGTTCGAACCCGGGGCCAGTTTGGCTTGAAAAAGCAAGCGCCTTACCGACTGCGCCACGCCGCCTTCCGTAGAGAAACAGGGTCGCCGCGCTTCCTAGGCTGCGTGGCGCAGTCGGTAGCGGGTTTGGCGATGGATCAGGCCGACTATGGGTTCGAACCCACCAGAGGCTAAACTTTTTTGTTTTTTTTCTGAGTTTCACTTGAGCTCTGATTTTCAGACAGCAGGTTCTCCATGAATATTTTCTCCAAGGTCCTGAACTTTTTCCCTATATTTCTAACGTTCCGAACCATCAATTTGAACTCTTTCTCTTTGTCTCTCTCTCTCTCTCTCTCTTTCCTAATCCCCTTCCCTCTCCATCCATTCATTACCCGTACCCCGTCTTCTCCACATCCCTCCCGTTGAGAATTCAAATATCGCGGTGTGTGAGGGTCCCGAGTCTCGATCCTCCCGCTTTCACCCACTATTTCCCCGGTGCTGACCTCTTCAGATCCATTTTCTAATGAAATAGCATAGGATTTGAGGAGAATCGAGACGAACGGGACCATTTGAATTGGTGGTGTTGGCGGGAGAGAAGAGGACCTCTTTTTTCTGTGTACTGAGCATACACAGAAAGAGAGATGTGGAGAGGATAGGAGAGAAGGTTCGAGATCTTCTTCTTCTTCGTTTGAATGTGAATGGATGGATGAGGATGGATTGTGATGTGTGTGTGTGTGTTTGATTGAGGTGGTGAAGAGAGAGACAGAAAAAGAGGAGTTATGATGGTCCGTTAGGTAAAAAAAAAGAGGGGTCAGAAGAATGAAGGAATTAGGATGACAGGATGCAAAACATTTGAAATTTGGCAGAAATTAGAGAGAGCGAGATAGAGAAAATTCGAAAACCGCTGAAAATAGATCAAAATAATTCGAGATAGCATTGAATTTTCAAAGCGAATCTAGTCGAAATTATAGCTTATTTGGAGAAAATCCTTTGAAAAAATCAAGAATTAAGAACTTCTACCCTAGGACAGTACTCAAAAAAAAAAACAAAAAGAAATAGTGGTAGGTAGATTCGAACCCGCGACCTCTCTTTTAGATGACCAGTGCGCTACCCACTGCGCCACCGCAGTCGTCGTGCTTCTAGACCCTGTAGCGCAGCCGGTAGCGCTTTTGGTTATCAGCCAGACTAGCCTGAGTTCGAACCCACCTGATTCAATTTTTTTTTGTTTTTTTCCCTTTCACATTTCCCAAACCAATAACTTTTGAATAGTCCTCTCCACCGTATACCTGTCAATAATCCACCATATTAATCTTATCCCCATCAAATACCCGCACACATATACAAATCATCATCTCCAATTACAGTGGCCAAATCTCTCACTCCATCTGTTCTCAGGTCATCATTGACATCTACAATATCCTAGAGAAACGACTAATACCTGACCATATTCACTCTCGACACATTCCTGAGAGCCCCATAAAAGCCGCCCGTCCGTCAGGTTTAATGACTGTTGAGAGACCCTTTGGGACCCTATTTTAACACGTTATTAGGTTAGTAGGGTCCCTTGTTTTGGGAAATTTTCCAAAGAAAATAAGGCCGACACAATGGAAGAATAGCTGTGAAAGCCCCACGGCATGGGTCCTACTCTCCAGAAATCGAAAGTATACCATAGCCCGTTACATTTGAAATTCAAAACCATTTTCTCTTCTTGGAATTCTTCGGATGGAGAAATTCCCTTTTCATCCGTCACATCTCCTGAAAGAGACACCCATAAAACGACGTGATAATTGGCGATGGTGGTGGTGGTGAAAACGGAAGACGTCCCCCCTGGTACGTCCGTTACTCCTAACAAAACTACTGTCTGGAGAATGAAGAGAGAAAGTTTGAATTGTGGGTTGACGGGGTACTGAAGGACACAAGTGAATTTTTTGAATTTAGGTCGGAAAAGGAGGAAATGGGATGGGGAGGGGGGGGGGGGGGGGGTGCCTCTATTAGAAGGGCATGGTTTTGGGAGGTGGTGAAAAATTTGTTACCTCTGATGGGTTCGAACATGTGCCCAGCTTAGCAGAAAACGTTACCGGCTGCGCCACGCGGTCGGGGAGAACGCGTCGCATGGCGAAGTGGATAGCGCTACCGGTCTGGCAGGCAGGCCACGGGTTCAAACCCACCTAATGCCATTTTTTTTTGTTTTTTTTTTGAAGCTTCACCAGAAAGCGGATGAAATTTCTCAGATTGTTATGAAGTAAAAATAGGAAGATCGAGGAAAAAAGCAAACGAGATTGGGAGGCGACCTAACTTCTAACAACTATATCTCGGTAACCAAAAAAGATAGCAAAAAAATGTCAACTAATGAAATATAGACCAAAAAATTTGAAACATTTTATCAGTTGACAATTTTTCGAAAACTCTCAAGCCTGATGAGATAGGGCTCTTAAAGTTTAGTCGCTCAAAAACTGAAATTTTTGGTTTTCAAGGTTTTTTTTTTGAGATTTCTGAAGTTACTAATAAAAAATCAGAATCCTTTTAGCTAGCCTAGAGAAAAATAACACCTGAAAATTCTAAATCAAAAAACTCTGACGTCGAATTCCAAAACAGAATCTCAAAAAAAAGTCCGGATGCCACAACCACACCACAAGCCTAAGTGAAGCAAAAACTAAAAAGTTTGTTGGGACCACCCGGCTGTTACATCTCCCATTGTGTTGTAAACAATTCAGAACATCATCTCGAAAAAGTAAGAAGAAGCTGCGCGGAAGGGTGTACCAGTCACCGATTAATTGCCAGTGGCGGCAACTGCTGCCACTGGAGGATTACCACTGGTGATTTAGCCATTTTCTAACAAGAAAAACTTTTCAAGAAAGGTCACCTCAGAATTAGAATCGAAAAGACAGAGAATCAAAGCGAAAAGAAGAGAAAGAATTTCGAAAAATGGCATGGCAGAAAAAAGAAGTCCGTCGTCGCCATCTGTGCTTCTGAATGGCGCAATTCAAAAAGTGCCGTCGCCCGCCGGTTCACCTTGGATGTAATAGTAGAACGAAATCCATACAGAATAAAAAGTGTCAGTTCTTTTTTTTCCGGACGGACAAATGGCGCGGATCGGCATGCGGAGAGAGCGGACAAAAGGTCGTTTTGTCAGGGGGTGTTTGTGTCTTTAGAAATTCCATGGCCGTTCAGTTTTTTTCTTGGATGGATGGTGGATTTGATTTAAAAACTAAGGAGAAGAGGAAAAGTGGTTTTGATTTGAATTTGGTGGAAGAAAAAGAACGGACTTGGAAGGGGAAGGAGGTGGAGAGTTAGGGCTACTGGTGGAAATTTGAAGCAGCGGATCTAGGTTTTAACTTTGACTCGACTAAATATATATAAATGATTTCTGGCGGTTATGCAAGAGGTTCTGAGAAGCTTCAAACAGCTCCAGGGCTCAAAAACAAATGAGCAAGTGGCTCGGAAAAAAGTCTAGAAACGTTCTGAGCTTTTGAAGGGCTCAAAACATCGGGGAGGGCTCGGAAAAGGTTCGAAAAACAGAACAGAACTCAAATAAGCAAAAAAAAATTGATAAAAAAGTACCTCTGATAGGGTTTGAACCCGAGTCCGCTACCACAGCTGTAAGCGCATTTTTTGATCTACCAGACCAGCTCCGGGTTCAAAGACTCTATTTTTGCCTATCCTAGTTATCCTGACCCTCCGAATCAATCAAGACTAATCCACTCTTCTCCTCTAGGACCTGACAGACTTGAGTAGGTGAAAATTAATTAACAACCCACTTTTTTTTTGTTTGGAACAAGATTTATTACCCAGAACATAGTCGAGGCATCTGAAGATATCAGAAACCTTACCTACAGAAAAAAGATCTTTGAAATCTACAGTACCCAAAAAAGCCCTTGTTTTGAGGTATAGTAGAAGTACAAGAAGATTGTCTCAAGGTAAGCAACTAAATGAGGAAAAAGTAATAGTATCCAATTGGCATGCCAAGGGAAAACCGGTTGTGACATAGATATCGGTTACGTGTTCCAAACAAAAGTTGAAGAAGGAGGAGGAAAAGTTGGAGAAAAAAGTAGCGGAAATGGAAGTTGGTGGCACGGGTGGCAGAGGACCTGTCTAGTGGGAAAAGTGTGGAAGAATGGCGTCGGGGAAATCTAGGCAGTCATGAGAGATAGCAAAAAGTGATTAACTAAAACGTTGCTGATATTTAAATTTCAAACATTTCTTTAGTTGACAACTTTTTGATAGCTGTTATCGCAATCGAGATATGAAGGGTGAAAGCTTCTAGAAGGTTTGATAGAAGCTGGGCTACCTCTTTTTATTTTGAGCCAAAATATCTGAGCAGCCACGAGAGCTAGCAAAAAAAATGGTGAACGAAAAACTATTGGCCATTAAATTTTACGTATTTCTTTAGTTAATTGTTTTTTGATAACTCTTATCACAGGTCGAAATTTCTGAGAGTTCAAGGACTGATAGAAGCTAGGCTATGTCTTTTCACTTGGAGTCAAAATATCTGAGCAGCTATGAGAGATAGCAAAAAACGGTCAACTAAAAAGTTGTTTGGAATACAATTTTACGTATTTCTTCAGTTAATAATTTTTCGACAGTCCAACCAAAACTGAGATACATCGTTTTGAAGTTGACTAGATCGCCTAGATTTTGGACGCTAGAAAGTATAAAGATTTCTCAGCTAGGCAAAATCAAGGAAACCCTGAACCACCATGAAAAAATGGTTGAGATTATTCTAACAAGAATTCAAAACCCTAATCTCTTGAACACACAATATATATCTCAGTGTCGGTTTACCCTCTCTAGGGTAACCCCAAATTCCCCCTCACCCCTCCCCCTCTATTCTTAAAGGGTACACCCCCCCCCTGGGTAGCTTGGGTTTCTCTTTCCCCAAATTCTCCTCTTTTTTTTCTACAAATTTTCTCTCAAAAAATAAAAACAAATTGGGGACACTCCTTTGGGGGGACAGCCCTTTGGGGGGGGGCGCCAATAAAAAGGGGCCCCCAACAGGGGGGGGGGGAAGAAAAAATTTTTAAAGGGGAAAATAAAACCAAAAAGGGGGCCCCAGGGGGGGGGGGGGGGGGGATAAAGGACCCCCCCAAACACCCGTTTTTAAAAAAAAATTTTTTTT